TTCAGCGTGTGGAAAGCCAGGTTTCGTATTCTTAAATGCATTAATAACTACCCGATACAAACACAAAGAGACATTCCTCTTGTTTGTGCTATTCTACACAACTTCATACATATGTACAACCACAACAATGATCTACTCACCGCGTACATGAGAGATGCCATTCCGGTAGTTAAAATTGATCCACTCAACACGGATCAAGATGTGAATCAGAATCACAATCCTGATCGGGGAACCCAACAACATCAAAACCATCCGCACCGACGACAAATGCACATATTAAGGGATGAAATAGCTAATAGTATGTGGGATGCATATGAAAACAACCGGCGTTGATAGATTGTTGTTTTATCTCAAAGCCAAAACCTGTAGTGGTAAGTTTAAATTTGTTATTATGACAACTATCATGTTTTGAGTCTTACTCATGGGGTATATTATATACAACTAGAACATTTTTTTGACAGGTGGATAGTCCCTTCCTTACCGCGAGAGACAACTTGGTTGTTGCATTTGAAAAGGTGGTGCCTCTTTGCTTCATTTACGGGTTGGCAAACTTGGCACAGTGGCCTTATGTATCCAAGGTCAGGGATTCAGTAGGTGCTGCAGTGTATTGTGAATAGTAGTGCCGAGGACCACATACGCTTATTTACTTATTTATGTAAAGGTTATGATATAGGTTTAATTTGCAGCAGCATTTCTTAAGCATATAACCGGGTTATGATTAGGTGGTTTGTTTCGGTTGAATTAGGGCTCAATGCCAGGCTGACACAACACGTAGGCTTTTGCTAATTGACAACTCTGCTTTATTCACAAGGGAATGAATTCATATTGCTAAATTAATTTGGACTATCTTCTTATGGACAATCAACAACTTAATGGTTTATGTATATCTAGAAGCAAAATACGTTTTGGCCTTTTGTTTCTAGTTGGAAAATGAAACATTCTTGAATTGATCTTTGTTTTATTATTTCTTTATCAGTTGTATATTCTCATTGAGAATGTTGACTTTTTTATATATTTTAAAAACATGCTAAGTCTACTGTTATGTTAAGTTGTACGAGTAGCATCCGAAGATGCTGCAGGAGTATCCCCAAGGTTTACACCATAGTGGCCTTATGTATCCAAGGTCAGGGATTCTCTTTTTTTATTTCTTTCCTCAGTCACTGATTGTCTTTTTTTATCAGAAAAATTTGCATATTGTGTTGTATAATTATTAAGAAAAATATATATATATATATATATATATTATGAAGAACAGAAATGTATGCCATTCTTTGAAAATGCATGCCAAACGAATGTTAACGTTTCTTAGTCCAACAGAAATGCATACCAACGTTGAAATTAATTGGAGTTTGATATTTGTGTAAGTGAACACAAAATTTAAGTTTCAAAAGTTAAATAGTCAATACTTAAACACTAAACTCTAAATTTTAAATTACACTCAAATTTTTTAAAACTCAAATATAATTTTTTAACTCAAATTATAAAATTTAAGTTAGTGAAGTGAACGCGCCTTAAAAGTATTATTGATTGAATTAACTATCTTAAAGCAATAGTCTCAATTGGAAGAACATGTTAATCACACATCACGAGGCCATGAGAGATGAGTGCTGATAAGTTGCCGGCAAAGTATCATATTTGGACGCATGTTTTCAAACTGTCCAATCGCCACCAAACAAATCCTTTACTTTAGTCATCAATCATGCAATTTACTTTATAAAGTAGTCCATGCTTAATGTAATATTTATTTATTTTTTTTTTTTTGCTTACAATCGAAGGACAACAATGTGACCGTAGTTGTAAGAAATAAATAAAATTTATACCCTTTTTAAGGGGATTCCATTAAATCAAATAAAAGATATAAATACCAACATAAAAAGTTCTGTAATATACGAGATAAAAACCACAATTGAGAGCGGATCTATCAATAAATCTGATAAACTTTAAAAATAATGGAGAATGATGTATTATGGGTTTATTGTATACTCTTTTTTTTGTTATTGTTATCCAATTATGCGTTTATTACTATTACATTATTAATTTTAGGACATTGATACACTGAAAACAAGATTCCACATCATTTTTCAAAGGTGTAATTAATATCAAAGCAAAGCAAAAAAAAGATGTATCATAAAAATCCAAACTGTGCCGCCAATCCGATTGGCCAGCACACAAGTAGGTGTATCATGTGGAACATGTATGATGTTTGTCATCAGTCCGACAATGAAATATCAAATCTTTTTAACGGTCAGGATTTAACCGCTGCCCTTCTCACAGCTCATCTGGACATTTTAGTCTTTTCGTTCGTGAAACCCAGCTCGGCTTCAAAACCGAGACCGGAAGCCGAGCCGATGAGTGCCCAATCAACCGGTTACTTCAAAAAGACAGGGGGATAGGATGACGTACACGTGCAGGGACACAGCTGTCGGATCTTATCCTAGCAAAGCGGATACTATTCGTCCTTCTTTTTTTGTAATATTACTACAAATTCAATTTCGAAATTTGAAAATAAAAACCAAAAAACAAAATCTATAAATAAAATATAGAGTTAAACAAAACAAAAAAAGTTCATCGTTGTTTTTTAAAAATATATAGCATTGTTTTTATTTTTATTTTTATTTTTATTTTTATTTTTTTATGAAACTATTATCATTGTTACCCATAACATATATGATTGTCAATGTATTTAATATATGTTACTTTCTTATTTTTCTATTTACTGAAACATCTTCTATTATTGAGAAAAAGAATAGCAATGTTCAAATAATTGCAGACTTACTCTAATATTAAAATGTTATACACTCGTAGATTTATTATGCAAATCTCTCTATCTTTATTTTTTATTATAAAAAAACAGTTTAAGAACACAAATCTAAACTTGAACTACTACTTAAATTTCTTATATACCGCTAAAAAGAATATTTCATGAGTAGTATGAGAAGTGGCATTGATTATTCTTTTTCTCGTGATATATAGCAATTACTACAAATTATTATTATAATTATTAACAACGGCACAAATAATAGTTTCTGATAAAATAATTTAATATGAGAATAATGTAAAATTAAAAATAATTATCATTCCATACATTTTTCTTACTGCCCTAAAGAATTAATCTATGAAAGAAATAGCGTACATGAAATTAGGTTAGATACATTTTTCATACATTTTTTTTAAAGAAAGTCCATGCTCTTTCTATTATTTTTACTATTGTTATTAATAATTAGGAAATTTCATGTTCCTTTTATTATTATCGCTATTATTTATAATTATTATAAAGTGCATTTTACAGTGAGATTAGATTAGATATTTAGATCTCATAGTGATAATATATGTTTATGAATATTAGATATAATCAAATCCCAGACAAAATTTATAAAAATTTACTGTTCCAAACGAAATTTTACTGTTAAGAATAAAATATATTTTTGATACTCTCGTTGTAAAATTTTATCACCGATTTTTTCTAATAAGATTATTAGATATAATTAAAATTACATTAAATTAAAAAAAATAAGTATAATACATAATTTTTGATACAGAATTAATAGTTAAATTTGTTTTTTATCACACTTACTAGAGAAATTCTCGTTCTATTATTATAATTTTGATTTGTGATCCGCCCTTTAAAAAAAATAAATAAATTGTGTCTGTGATAAAAATAAAAAAAAAAGGAGAAGAAATTGGGTAAATTTGAATTTGGATTTGAAGTCCGCGCTTGCAGCTGGAGCGCACTCCAAAAGCCCGCTTTGGTGATTTTCGGGAGATTCAAAGCGTGGGGTCCACTTTCGCTTCTTCCCCCCCTCCTTCTCCCCACCTTCCACAATCCACATGCAGCCAATCCTCTCTCTCTTCCATTTATTTATTGTTTCTCTATTGCCTATAGGACACCTCTTTTGTATTCTTCTCTTATAAAATTTTTGTTTTATTTATTTAATTTCCTGATTTTCCTCTCAGTTGGAGGCCGTGTTCCGGCACATTCGGCCCCACGGTAAAGCTCAGTGCCTTTACTCTCGTCACCAATTAAACAGCTTTCTAGAAGGCGGAAGCCTCTGAAATTCAATCAAATGAATAAATAATTCCCCGGTTGAGACCTGACAAGTGGGAAATTTGCACGTGCCATGTTACATATTGGAGGTTTAAATTAAGCTAAACTGGGTCTACAATAATATTAAACCCCAAAACAATGATAGGGACATGCCTAATTCCACTTGGTCTAATGACACCGAGGAATTTGAGTGGAATGGAATTTAAGGAGAGGATGTGGATTCAATTACGTATTTAATTAATCTAACAATCTTTGAAACATTTGTCAATAGAATTATGACACCTCTTAAGTTAATATACAAGTTAAGATTAAAATCAGTGTTTATAATACAATTCTCAATTCCACAACGAATAAAAAGTAGATCCAACAATATTGTTCATGAGAATCTATCCTCCATTGGTATTTGGTCTTGATAGTATTGGTGTTTTGTTGTTTTGAGTGCCTTGATTAGAAATTATTTTTACTCAAACCTACTCCCTTTCGAGTTGACACCCGCCTATGATATCCGCTCTTAAAAAATTAAAAAGAAATGGTTGTGTTTGAGATTAATTCCATTTTTATTTTTTACTTTACGTTTCTCGAGAAAGAAAAAATAAAACCTTTTTAAAAATAGCGTTTAACGCAATAAAAATAAAAAACAGAAATAAAAATAATTTTTTAATTTAATATAAAATGAGAGAAATAAAAAACTACTTTTAATCATTTTTCATTTTTCATTTTCATTTTCTCCTCTCGAGCAGAGAGAGAGAGAGAGAGAGAGAGAGAGAGAGAGATGCATTAATGAATTTTTTTACACTGAAAATAATCTCTTGATAAAACTACCAAACGCATTTTTAAAAATAATTTATGACTGAGATTGAAAACATTTTCATTTTCATTTTCATATAAAAAATAAAATTATTTTAAAACGAGTACCCGTCATAACCTTCAAAATTTGAACACCCACATAAACTACTCTTTTGAACGGTTCATATATTTTGGTTAGCAAACCAAAACTAGAATGTCCGAAACTATTATATCCTTGCCAAATGCTTGATATACAAATACCAAAGAGAATAGCACCAAGTTAGCAGAACATTCAAATTTAGAACCAACATACTGCGAGAGTGATTCCAACTAATAGAAGTTTTTACTGAAACTCATGCACAATCTTCTTACCAAAAGACTGTTATCCGCGACCTCAAGCCATGCATGTCTCCTCATAGAACCCACAGATCAGCAAAAGAGAAAGGCGACGGCGTCGACTTCATATGTCAACATACGGCATGATGATGGAACACAGTTACAAAACAAAAGGCAAGCTACTAATCTAATCTACACTTAACATGAAAAGTCCAAGTTCATGTTGAAGATATGACATCTGATTGAATTGGTTTGGATCTATTTACGATGGCCATTACCGCCATCTGACACCAAGTGCTCCCTGCGCCTCCTATAAGAGTCAGAATAATCATCCATCTTCCTGTCAGGCGGAGAACGTGACCTTCCACGGCGGTCCCTTGAACAAGAATCTTTGTCTTGCTGTCGACGTGGTGAGTAGCTGCGAGAATGTCTACGACCATTTCCTGTATAGTTTTGGCACAGGTAAGTATGTATTATTAATAACTGCCGTCAGCACAGGTATGAATTGTAATAACTGCTATCACATTGTTCCACCAATTTAATTATTGCCAACAAAATGAGGCAAGAGTATTAATGTCAGTAGCAATTATAGCATAGTCATCAAGCTGAATTGAGCTCAGAAGTCACCCTGGTCTACTAAGCATTATTGAAGCCACTCGGCCAGAGAAGCAAGCAAGGGTAAACTTTTCCTCCAGTAAAAAAGGGGAAAAAAAAAATCGTGTAAACTAACAGTTAATGAAAATCTTAAACTTGTTATCAGACGACGTACTTTAGCCCTTTGCAACCGAAAAATCATAAGCAAGAAGTTGGAAAAATCTAACTACAATCACGGAAATGTACCCTAATTTGGGCAAGTGGCCACTCAATTATAAGGTGCCTGTAAATGAGAAAGTTCAAGTACAAAGGCCAAGTGCACAATAGCCCATTCATTTATAGTGCCTGCAGGTCATGGGGTGGTAAAACTCTCAAGTAAAATTACAGAACTACAGGCTTTAAAGTGTATGCAGTACTAGCCTTAACTTCAGCGCATGATTATTCAACCGTAGTTGACAAAAAGCAATTGCGAAATGAATACAAGAGCTATTTCATACCTTGCCTATCTCGCAAACCTTGATACCTGCCTGGAGTTGGCGTCCTTCCTCGCTTCCTTTTAGCCTGCATACACAGAAAAAAAAATGATGGTAACACCATAATAGATGAGAAAGTTCAATAGAGTACTCAAAGTGGTTAAAGCAAAACCACATATTTCTGGTCGAGTTCCAAAAATACTTCAAATGGCTCAACTATAATGGTTGCGTCCCGGAATATGATATCCTCAAAGTTGGCAACAATAGAATGTTGGCACATATTCTGATATGTTAAGAAAAATTCCAAAATTTACGATCACATGTATTTCCTACTGCAGTAGCAGCTAAGTGCATTTATTCTTCTTTTTAATAATTTTTAATCAAAATAAAAGAGGGAAAAAAATTCACTTTTTGATGAAATATGCAAGATAAGCCCAAAACAGAAGCAACAAGAAGACTTTACCGTTTCTCTAGGGTAATTTATATATAGAAAGTTAATAAACCGAAGAGGATGCTGTTGCCAATGAACAAAGAGGTAAAAAGGGCACACAACCCTCTGCAAAGTAGTTGTGATTGAATCGGTGAGTTTGAAATTGTCGATGTAGAACTCATGTCGTGAAGGGGATAGATACAACTGTTTAGAGCTTAGGTTGTGAATTCGATGGAGCTACACAGACAAGACCTGCTGCCAAAACTAATCAGGCAACATTTCCAAAGAAAGAAAAACTCTCGAAGAAAATATATGTGAAATAAAAAGCCACACTACTCTATTAGATCCTTTGATAGAAACTAGTACCTTTTCCACAGTGACTAATCGACCTTCAAGCACTGAACGATTCAATTGTTTAATGCACCGGTCTGCATCTTCAACAGTTTCCATAGTAACAAAACCAAACCCACGAGATTCCTTGGTATGAGGATCTGTAACCAGATGGCACGCCACAACCTGATAACAAAACCGAGACATCAAATTCTATTTAAAAACAACTAAATCGTTGCTTCTCATTCTTAGATTTATATATCCAAACATAATCTTTGTAATTCAAATCTTTCTCCTTTCATGAGTAATCATACAATAGGGACATTACCCCGTGTAACCAAAGCAACCACAATCATGCTGACCTGAGGTCATTCGCACGAAACATCACAGGATTAGACAAATACATGCATCACGGTGAGTAAGGGCGGGTTAATTCTTGGCATGGCATACGAACAATAACAAAATCCGAATGAACCATACCTTTCCTTCTTTGCCAAAAAACTTCTCAAGATCACTGGTTGTAACTCTTGTGGATAAGCCTGTCACATACAAGTTATTTCCAGGATTGTCCGCGCCATCAGAATCACGACTCCTATTGTGGTAAAAACCAAAAGTCATGTCCTCTCAACCTAATGGATATAAAGCTTGACGCACAGCACAGACTGTTTAATGGAAAAGTAGGAAATGCAAAAGTTTACAGCTTGAGATTTCCCATATACCTGGAAAGGCTTCTCCTCGACCTAGACAATGATCTCAACGGACGACCTCTGCGAGGCGAAAGAGATCTAAAAACATATCGACAAGAAAATAACATATAACCACTTTCCAAATCATAACAAAACAATAATTCAAAATAATATATTAAGTTAAAACTGACCTTTCTTCTCTTGAATATGGCATCTACCACCAGTACGAAAAAAAAAAAAAAAAAATTAGACTCCTCGTAATACTAATAAATAATTAGTTTATTTATAATTTTATGCAGCTTCTGACTCCTGAGTTCTCTAAATTCCAGGATCATGTATGATGCAATAAAGTAAAATATTTTTAATTCCATTAATCTATTAAATATAAAATATACAATATAAAGTATAACTAAACATAATCTTAATCCGTTAAAAAATGTAAAATATGAGAACTGTTACTTCTGATTGGCTATTAAATTAGGTTAGTTGGGGTACACACACATGTATATTATAGGACTTTTCCAGCATTAAAGTTTTCTGCACTCTCATTTTACTTCAAACTTGGAGATCGATCTTGGTCAATTCATAAAAATTAGGGCCTTAATTCGCTCAAAAATAAACCAAAACTACCCAAAATAATAAGAATATGACGAATTAAACATAGTATTAAGCGGATCCATCGAGGTAATCAAACCGAATCGCAAGAAATGAGGCAAAAATTATCGAGAAATCGGACAGTAAAATGAAACAAAAAACGTGTTTTAACAGTTTCTGAAACCTAACTTCTGCAAAAGTTGGAAAAGGTTTGGAGATAGGGGAGGTTCGGAGCTTTACCCTGTTGATCGAATCGCTGAGTCAACTCGGAGGACCAGTAGAGGTGAAAGGAATCGGAATTCTAAGATAAGTAAAGAACAGCTTTTCTTCTTCGAATAAATTGTCGTACCCTATATTTTACGATAATAACAAAACGCACCCTGTTTTCTATTGTAATTCTGCAATGCGTCTTCTACTTTTAAGATGCACCCCTGTTTTCTATTGTAATTCTGCAATGCGCGTTCTACTTTTAAGAATGTTGCCACTTACAGTAGTTAACCTGATAAATGAATATTTGATAAATTAATAACCTTAATTAAATAATAAAAACTTTCAGTTTTTGATTTAGGTTAAGTTAATAATCTCGTTAAATGCAATAAAAATTTAAATTAATAATTAATTGAATACAAAAAATTATAATACATGCTTATTAACATTCTATTTACAATCTTCTAATATTAAATTTGAAAAATAAGTACATCAATTTTATATCTATGTACATACTTGTTAACATTTTATGTATAATGTACTTACATCAATTTTTAAGTTGTTATGTACAAGTACATTGATAACTTAGAAATTCTATATGTAAACAAATTTTGATTGCATCCAACTATTTTTTTTTTTATTATAACACATACGTGAATATTGGTAAAAAAAATAATACATGTACCAATATGACACAAATTATTAAACTCTTCTTAAATTAATAAATTATCTATTTATCAATGAATAAATAATCTCTCTAAAATAATATATTTTTTATTTTTATTAATATATTATTAGGGTATAGATCTCCTACTTATAGGGTGCACAATGAGAACCAAAATCAAGAGAATGTTTGGGATTCGTTCCCTAATTTGAATCATAGTTCGTAGTTCGTTACAGTATTTTTTTTTTATAAAAAATACATATAAATTAAAAATAGTTATAATCACGTGATTTTAATTCATGAATTAAACGTCTCTTAAAAACCCATATTTGTTCATTAACTCCGGCGAACTCCACTGCCCTGACAACGGCCCTTACAAACGCAATAGCCCATTAGACGACAATTGGGAGCAATATTTGCACCTCTTGAGCTCTGAGTTGAAATTTTCCAAGTTGAGCCAATAAACGTCGACCAAATAACTTGTAAAAGTGAAGATCTGCTTCCATTAATTTGATTTGAAGTTTATTGAACAAGTGGATTTTAATTTAATTGAATATCTCTATTGTTCTGATCATCAAATAAGGCTAGTTTGGGTTTTGGATTGGTACTTTGGGGAAGAAATAATCTGGGTTTGAGAGAAATTCTCAAACCCAGATTCTGACGAGAAATTCTCAAAGGAAAGTTTGGTTGCCAAGAAACTATCAAAGGAAATGAGAGAAATTCTGACGAAGAGGAAAAGGGTTGGAAGGACCTCCACTGAGGCAATAGATTCCCTTTTGGTGGCAATGCGCCATGAACTCATGAAACTCTTGCCAGCTCTTCCCTTGAACCTCATCGCCAAATCCCACGTGACGGAGAGATCTCCTTTCTTTAGTCGCATGATACCCCCCACAGCCCTTGGTAGCGCGACAACCACTCTCTTGACGGTAGTGTGAGTCCCTGTATCCTTCGTCGACATAAGATCCCGAGCGGCGATAATGGGCGGGGCATAGCTGGACTTGCTGGAGGTGGGAGGCATGGTGGCTAAGCATGGGAAGAACACATTGACCGCATTTAGAATTGGTCCTTTTTTTTAGAAAGAAAAAATAAAAATATTTTTAAAATAACATTTGACGTAATAAAGATAAAAATAAAAATAAAAATAATTTTTTAATTTAATATAAAATAAAAAAATAAAAAATAATTTTTAGTCATTTTTTATTTTGTATTTGAGATATATATATTAATGAGTTTTTTATATTTAAAATAAGATAAAATTATTAAACGTATTTTTTAAAATGATTTATGTCTGAAATTGAAAACGTTTTTATTTTCATTTTCATATAAAAAATAAAATTATTTTAAAATGAATTCTAAACGCGTATAATGTTATTCATTTTTTTGTAGTCTTTGGCTACGATTAGGTGCAAGAGAGACCATATAGACACTCACTAAGATTTAATATTGACGTCTAGATGTACCCTGTCGGTAGAGGAAAAAAGGCACCCTACCATAGAGATTCCCATATTGTTATAGAGGTTTTACTGTATTTCATATGTTTTGTAATTGTGTTAAAAGCTGTCCTACTAATGAGTTTTGACTCTTGTTCGTCGTTCTAATATGAAAAGGCAACTTTTTTTTCATTAAAAATTCTACCCTTCAAACTCGATAAACTATTAGCATCATGTCACTTTAATCTCTTAGATTTTTTTTCTTCGTAGATTACTGCATGAATTCTGGTTTTTAATTTGTTTTAGTCCATTTCACAATCACGAATTATGTTCATGTTAATTCATTTAATTATCGTGTTAGAAAACATCAACAGATATACGATTTATTTATTAAACGTGTTAAAAAATGTCAACCTGAGCAAGATATGTTTATTACACGAGGTTGACATGCTAATTTAGGAACGTACAATGTTTTTATTTTTGCCTTTTTTAACATGCAATGTTTATTATATCTTGTTTTATGAGGCTCCTCAACTAGTGGCGTTGAAATGCCTATAAAATATCATCCCGTGAAACAATGATTTTAAGTTATGTTTTAAAATAAGGTCTGCATTTAGCACTAGAATTATTATCGTCGATATAAAAAGATAAATTATGTCTCACCCTTCCACTTCCAAATTATACAAGGCATATGACATATAAATAAAAGAAGTACTACTCATTATCATGTCAAATCATCCACATCACTAAATAATTTGCGAAGCATACAATGATCAATACTTTGTTCCTCGAGTAAATTTATTCACTAAAAAAGTTGAAATAACAAAAGAATTACACCAAACTCTACCCAAAAACAAAAAAACAAAAAATACGTGCACAAGTAACTTCTATTTCCAAACTAAACAAATATACATATTTTACAGCTTCCTCGACTCTAATCTTTTACGTGTAACTGCATTTTCTGAAAACTCATCTCACATAAAAAACAATTTTGTGGTTATGGTTGATCAAGTTTACTTTTCTTCTAGTTTCCCATTTCCTTGGATCTCTCTTGGGTTTCAGCTAATTCATATGACGAATTGACGATGCTGTTTTTGATTTTTTTTTCCCTTGCTTTCGCGCAAAAGAAAAAGAAGGGACCTGAGCATACAGAAACATGCCACAAGCTACAAATACCAACAGAAGATTTAAAAAAAAAAAAGCTTTATTATTAATATTATTATTACTAATATATATTATTATTATTTTGAAAATCTTTGCAAAAGGGCTTGGAGGAGAGTTAGTTATCAGAACGAAGCTAAACAGGAAAATACTAGAGGCACCTTCTGGTTCGTGGTAGAGCTAGAAATTTCTTTCGGTGAGTGCACAATATATATATATATATATATATATATATATTTATATAAGTTCTAATTTTTGTTTGATTGAGGACAATTATAAGTTTTTACAAATTGGTGAATTATCATAACTTTTTTCATGAAACGAAAACAAAATTGAAATTTTAGAGAAATCTTTGTACATCAAAATTTGAGTGGGAACACGTGGCTACATCAAATTGCATGTGGCTCCACGACTAGATTTTATATGCGAAATGCCGACAAAATGTAACGTTAAAACAAATGTTATACACTAATTGAAAAATAGAAATAAGTAAATTACCATGGCGATCTAGCCAAAATTGGTTATTTTGTTAGTGTTACTATAACTATTTTGTTACCTGTGCCACTTCCAGTAGGTTTGAGGATTTTCCATTTCCCTGCTTATAGAAGCCATTGCCAATGCAATGAAGACCCATCGGAAGTATCTATAAATATCTCCCCCTAAATCTAGGAACCAGACTTTCACAACACCCCCACCTGCAAAACATCATTAGATTAATCTATTTGTATTCCAAAAATGTTCAACTGAATTGTATGACTTGTTAGATTTTCATGTTGTACATGTATAAAACTTAGAAGGGTGGTTTTGAAATTCCCAATGTATTTCAGAAACAATATATACCTGAGAGGGATTTGTGCCCGGGTTGTTGGAGAGAATGAAAATGACGTTTTTCTTCTGAACAACTCCATCAGCCACCCAATGAGAAGTCCTGTAGCTCCCAGTGAGAAAACAATGGGGATATTGCTTGACCTGCAAGAAACATCCATGATGTGTTTTTGTTTCAGATTCCAGTGCTAAAATTTATTTTGAGATCTACGGTAGGATATGAAAAAATAAGCTACCGGTCGGACTCTATTTTGAATCTAATATTAGATTATGTAAGCTTTATATATATATTTTTATTTTTTTTGTGATTTTAATAAGATCTAACGTTCAGAAACATGCACTGCCATAAAAGCACATAAGATGCTCTATTTATGCGAAGTTACATAATAGTGTCGTTTTTTTGGTACCTGGTTGGACAAGTTACAACTTAGTCTTACAGCCAATAGGGCTGTGATGATTGCTGCAATTGTATGAATAGTGCTTTTGATGGATTCATTGACATTGGTTAAGTACACAAACGTGTTCATCACAGCCAAGAAAGACAACCAGAAGTCCATAAACTGCAGAACCCAGATAGCAAAGCATGCTGAAGCTTATATAAAATGGGAAGATGGGATCCCGAAAGTTGTGTCCTTTTGTGCAATCATGGGAAAAAAAAATCCGGGTATGTTAACAAAAAAGAAAAATGGCCAGAAAGAAAAAAGAAAGTTGGAAATTATAGCCAAGGATATATTTCATCACAGTGACGGTAAATTGCACTTGCGATTCCACTAGCCATGAAGACCACCCAGTCTGGACATTCCTG